TTAATTTTTTTATTTTTTTTGGCGGAACTGGGGATTGAACTCAGACACTTGCGCTTGCCAGGGAAGTGCTTATTCCCCTGAGCCATCTCCCCGGCCCCAATGTTCTTGGTTTAAAGACTGCTAGGTCCTGTTTAGATGAGATCAGGCATATTTGGGGTGCTCTGACAATACACTGTTAGGTCTTACTTAAAGCTGAAAAATAAAGTTAGAGTGGAGCATAACTGGAATTTCATTGGGAAGGATAAAGTAACACACCTGTGTTTTACTTATTTTTCAGGCAACTATACGCTCAGAGTTGATTGTACGCCTCTTCTTTACCAGCTCGTGTATAAACTGACAAAAGAGGTACAAAGGGGAACCTGTCTTCCTGCGATTCCCGAGGAATGGCTGAATGCATAACATTTTCCTGACTTAATCAGTGGCTTTTAGTTTTTAAGTTGATACCAGACCATCCTATACCTGACTAGTAAATAACAAGTAAAAATAGGATCTGAATGCATGACTTGCTTTGTGGCAATTAGGAAGATAGTGCTGCCATTCTTGCTAATACGGGTGCTCACACTTGTGTAGGGAATCTAATGTTAATCAGGTAGGAGTGCTTTGATACAGGGCAAAGAGCGCTGAGTTAAAATGGAAAAGTGTTAGTTTCAAACACTGCCTTTGCTAGCAACTTTTTTCTTTATGCAGCCAATGTCCATTGGGTGATTACTTTGAGTCAAGCCCTGGAAAATGAATTCTGGTAACAAGAGGGATAAAAGATCACAGAATTCAAAGAGGGTACAGGCCTGTCAATGTGCAATTAAATTCTCTGGGCCTTCTTATACTGTTTATGAGAGAACAGGTGTAGAATACAGACTGCAGAACGTTGGGATAGCCGGCGGGAGTTGGGAATCACGGGGGTGTTATAGCGCCACAGGTGCTTGGACTGTCAAGTGGAAGCACACGTAAGGAAGAGACGGGGCTATGAAGCGGGGACTCAGCACTGAACAGTGATGTGGACGTACCAAAGAGCCTGCTCTCTGACCTGAATTTGGCTCAGTGTGGCCTAAGCATGTGGTATTGATGGAAAGGCGGTAAGAGAGAGTGCGTGGGGAGGCTGAGCAGGAAGTTTGCTGCAAGTTCAAGGCCAGCCTGGACTACAAAGTGAGCTCAAGGCCAGCCTGAACCACACAGTGAAACCCTGTCTCAAAAAGACAAACACACAGAGAGAGAGAGAGAGAGAGAGAGAGAGAGAGAGAGAGAGAACAATGTATGAAAAATCAGATGAGAAATTTGCACATCTGGTGACAGAGAAGTTAATTTTTGACAAGACTGTTCATTATTTGCGTGACTATGTAGCGAACAGACAAATAGTAAATCTGAAGGCAAAATAGAAATGTTCGTGATTGCATATTACATAGGAATGTTGTACATATTAAGTGAATTATAGATAAAAATAACCTGACAGCTAATGCAGTTCAGGTCCCAGGGCATTATATGAGCTACTTGCTTACTACCTGTGCACTTCACTTAAGTGAATCTCTGCTATCGAATTTGCCTATAGAAATGCTTGCTTCAGGGTCAGCCTTAGAGAACAATGTGAAGCAGGCATCATTTTTTCCTCAGTACTATGTCCTGATCTCCCTTCATGTATCTTCTGCCTTTTACTGTTTCTCTAAAAACTCCTTTTCCTGAGTAAGAGTTCTCTTTCACACTCATCACAACCCTGTCACCCTCATTTTTAAAAAAAAGTTCATAAAAGCATCTTATTGAAAGGCAGACTGTAACAGAGTCCTTTTATGTGTATTTATTTATTTATATTTTAGGGAAGGGTCTATGGGGTCTCACCATGGCATAGTGACTCCAGTAGCATACATTGGAGTCAGAGATCCCCTGTTTACCACCTCCCAAGAGCTGGGATTGCAGGTGCGTGCCATCATGCCCAATCTCAATTGTCCTCTCAGTGCCCCCCGGGGCAGGGCCAGCACGGCAGGTGGAGGGATCGAACCCCTGGCCCCTAAGCCTGCTTGCAGGTGATTTAATCTGCTGAGCTATTTGGCTGGCTCACATTTATGATTTTTGATGTCTTAGAACTCTAACTCCTCCCTTTGAGGTCAATGATGGTAGGAATTTTGGAATCAGCAAGCAGGAGAGGTTTTTGTCCATGGCCTTATTACAAAAGCACATGCATATTGATGGCCATACCAAGAGTCAAACAACTGGATGCTTTTCACTTCCCTATCAATTCATTATTATAGTTTAACCTTTAATATGTCAGATAAACCATCGTTTGGGGATATAGCAGAGCAGTTGCCACATACAGTGAGAAAGGAGATCAGGGATTTATGTACAGAAGGATTGTGGTTGGTACTGAGAGTACGTCTAGCTGAGGCTGTTGAGATGGGTAGAGATTGAGCAGATCGAAAGGATACACTTCAGGATAGTAAGAAACTGCATCAATGAGGATTTTGCTGGGAATTCAATACAACTCACTAGGCATAAGAACTTCAGTAGGAGCTGTGCTAAGGAAATTGGCAGAAGCAGAGCAGAGAGAGAAGCCAGTCAGCTCGCTGGAGGATGATGGAGTAGCTCTGGAGTCATGAAATGCAGAGGGATGTTTCTAGTTACTATCACCATGTAGATCTGTTCTTGCTATGTTATTCAGCTGGCCTTGAAATCCTGCGCTCAAGCAACCTTCCTGCCTCAGTCTCTCAAAGTAATTGGGACAAAGGTCATGCTGTGGCATCCCGCACCCAACCTGATTCTAAATTAAAGGTATTGTAGGTAACAATGAATTCCCATCTCATCTGTAGGAAGCTACAAGGGCAAATGACTGTCCCCAGCCTGCTTAGCACTGCGGGAAAAGGAGGGCTCCTTGCTGTAGGCTAGTGAAGGCCTGTGCCCCGAGTACACGCCAGGCCTTTGCACTTGTGAATAGATGCAGGACAGCCGGTCCCAAAGCGTGGGCCAGCGCTGACAAGTTTATTCAGTGCTCTGTCACTGCTATTTTCTCAGGAAGCCCTTTACTTAGGGCATGTCTGTCTCTCATCTGGTATCTGGAGTTCTTTATAAGAGTTTGCTATTTTCCTTTGCATTACATATTACCACTTTGCATTGCACATTTGTTTGATGTGTGGATCCGTTTAAGCTAGACTGGGTTTTTTTTTTGCATTGTATATATTTATTTTTATGCTACCATATTGTTGTCACTTAACATGCAGAAGTCTAAATATAAGTATGATATTGAATTTTCCAAAATCAAGATGCATTTTTCAATGTAGTTATTTAAAATTTCTTAATTTTACAAAAAGTGAAATATAAACACATTTTAAATTCCATCAAATTTTGATTCTCACTATTTTATACCTTACAAACACATAGAGCTATAGTTTGTTGATTTACAAGTAATATAAGTTTTTTTTTGACATCAGTTATTTTATTTTAAAGAAAAAAAATAAAAACAATAGTACAAAATCTCAAAACAAGATTTTAGGAGAGTAACAATGGTTAGTACATTGTGTATTGTTA